TCAATTCAGCTGCGTAAATTTTTATAAAATTGCAATTCAGCTGGCAAAATTTACCTAAAAATCCAATTCAGCTGCCTAAATATGCCAGAAACTTTTATTAGGTATATTCAGTCTTCATCAAAATTCAATTAAGCTGGCAAAATTTTCATTAAATAACTATTCAGCTGCTTACATTTCAGAAAACTCCAATTCGGCTGGGAAAATATATGTAAAATTTTAATTCAGCTACTTAAATATGAGAAAACTTATATTAGGTGTATTCAATCTTCCAAAAAATTAAATTCAGCTAAATTTTTTAATTTTTATTCAGCTGCTTAAATTTCAGAAAAATCCAATTTATATGGGATTTTTTTAACTTGTAATTCAGCTGAGCAAAAAATGTTATTCGGGTTTTTTAATTTTACAAAAATTGATTCACGTGGTTAAATTTTCAAAAATGTATATTCAGCTGGCTAAATTTTCATAAAAAATTATATCTTAGCTGCTTTTTAATTTTATTCAGCTAGCTGAATACTATTTTTTATTTTTTTAAAGAAATTAAATTATCCCCAGCACATTTCTTTATTAAGGACATTTTTCTTTTCTTTAAATATAAAATAAGAGTTCTTTCCCTGAACAAAGAACAACAACACATATTTATATAATAACTACACAAATTCCCTTACAACAACAAAAAAAGCCCTATTTACCTTCTTCTGTTCCTGTTCCTGTGCATGTACATACATGTTAAGCAGCTAAAAGTATGTTGTAATACTTTGTTACGTTTATTCATGTTTAGTTTCTGGTCATATATACTCCTCGTGTAAAAGAGTTGTTAAACTCTCTCTTCCCTTCTTGCCTCTATTCCTCTCTCTCCACGCTTTACTCCTCAACTTCTCATTTGTTTATATTATACTTCAAAAATTTGCTGTTATTTTCTTTTCCTATTTCTATTCCCGAAACATAGAACTTTCTTTCTCTCCCCCTTTACCTTTCTACCGTTACACCATAACTCAGTATCTCTCCAAACTAATATCTCTCTTCCAATAACTTTATTTTTTATTTCCTTTTTGTTACTTCTTTTCTGGATATATTTCCATTTCGCCCGTTTCCATTTCGTCCTTTAGTTCCGTTTTTCTGTTTATTTACATAAATTCCTTTTTTTCTTCTTTTAACTCCCTTGTCAGTTATTTTGTAATGCCATCGGTGGAAGAGCGTACGAGAGGGAGAGAGTGAGAGAGGAGCCCATGTTGATGTGTATTTCTGTGTTGTTGTTTTCTACTACCAACAATTGTGTAGAACTCATCAACAACCTCCCCTCTCTCTCTCCTCACACTCTCTCACTCAATGACTATATCCCTCTCTGTGCGTTTGTAGTTATTGTGTGCGTATGAGGAATTATTGCATACCGGCCGGCGCCATTTCTGGCAAACAACAATGTTGCCAAACGCCAATGGGGAATAAAAAGAAAAAACGGAAGTAAAACAAAAAAGCAAAACACAGCAGGAAATCTACAACAAATCCTTGTGTGTAGTTAAAAAATAGAAAACTTTGAAGCGTGGAGTGTTGCTCCCACACCAATTCTTCTTCTTATTTTTCTTTATTCTATTTATTATTATGTTGTTGATGTTGTTATGGGTTTTATGACTTTCATTGCACTCCATGGAGTGGGGAGAAAAAAAAACAATATTCTAACTTTTTCTTTGAAATGGGAATATCCCTAACCTACCTTTTTCCGTTTTTTGTTGAATTTTTGAAAATTTATTTATTGAAGTGCAATTATTGTCCTTCTGTGTGTGTGTGGAAAATTTTCCCCAAAGGCATTTCTGACCTCTCATAATTTGTTACTTTTTTCGAAGGGTAGCTTAATGAGTCCAGATTTTTATGGTTCAAATAAACAGCATGGTCATGATTTTGTTAGGAAAAAAATTCTTCGGTAACAAGTGCCTCTCTTTTGAAGGGGGATAATTAACATAAATAATAATATTTATTTAAAAAAAGGGTCGTGAGAATGAACAAAAAATCCGAAAAAATCCCAATTCAGCTTAGCTGAATAACATTTTTATTAGCTGAATTGCCACGAATATAACAAAAAATTAAATTTTGCTTACAAATTAATATAAAAATTACAATTCAGCTAGCTGAATTTCGTAAATAGTGCAATTCAGCTGCTTAAATATTCATAAAATTGCTATTCATCAACATAATTAGGCATAGAACGTATATTCAGCTAAGTAAATATGACAAAAACTTATATTCAGGTGATTAGAATTTTCTAAAAATCCAAATTTAGCTGCCAAAATCTTTAAACACTTAGCTGAATAGAATTTTTACTAGCTGAATTGTCACGAATATTACAAAAAATGCTACTTTACTTAGTAAATCTTCCAAATATTAAAATTGCAATTCAGCTGGCCGACATTTTCAAAAATTCGTATGTAGCTGGCTTTCTTTTTCTTTAAATTACAATTCATCTGGTAAATTATGCATACAAACCCTATTCAGCTATATAAATATGCCAAAAATGTACATTCAGCTGACTAAATTTTTCAAAATTTGATATTCAGCTATTTATGCCAAAACGTCTATTCAGCTGGATACATTTTCGGAAAATTACAATTCAGCTGGTCAACGTTTTCAAAAATTCATATGTAGCAGGTTTTCTTTTTCTTTAAATTACAATTCAGCTGGTAAATTATGCTTACAAACGCTATTCAGCTAGCTAAATATTCCAAAAACATATATTCAGCTGCATAAATTTTTGTAAAATTTCAATTCAGCTGCGCAAATTTTCCAAAAATGTATATTTAGTGGGTTGAAATTTCTTTAAATTACAATTCAGCTGGCTAGTTTTGCCTACAAATGCAATTCAGCTAGCTAACTTTACCAAAAAAATATATTTAGCAGACTAAATTTTAGTAAAATCGATATTCAGCTGACTAAATATAAATATATTCAGCTAGCAATATATGCACAGAACTAAATGTTCAGAAATGGTTATTAAGCTACCTAAAATTACATTTAATTGCAATTCAGCTGGCTAATTATACATACAAACGCAATTCAGTTACATAACTGTGGAAAAAGTTTATATTCTGCTGACTAAATTTTAGTATAATCGCAATTCAGCTGGCTAAATATGTATAAAAACATCTATTCACCTGGATACATTTTTGTAAAATTCCAATTCAGCCGGCTAAATTTTTCAAAAATTCATATTTAGCTCCGTTAAATTACATTCAGCGTACAAATGCTATTCACCTAGCTAAATATGTCGAAAACTTATATTCAGCTGACTAAATCTTAGTAAAATCTATATTCAGCTTTATTAAAATTGATATTCAGCTGACTAAATATGTATAAAAACTCTATTCAGCTAGCTATATATGCCAAAAACAGCTTGTTTTTAACTTGTTAAAATTACGTTAAATTGCAATTCAGCTGGCTAATTATGCATACAAATGCTATTCAACTAGCTAAATATTTCAAAATTTATATTCAGCTGACTAAATATGCATAAAAAGTCTATTCAGCTAACTATATACGCCATATACATCTATTCAGCTGAGTAATATTTCGTAAAATTGCCATTTTATTCAGTCAGCTGAATATGTCTTAATACCCATAAAAAGTCTATTCAGCTAACTATATACGCCATAGACATCTATTCAGCTGGATACATTTTCGTAAAATTGAAATTTAGCTGGTTACATTTTTATTCAGCCAGCTGAATATGTCTAATTTTACTACTCATCTAGCTTAATTGCAATTTTTGGCCTATTCAGCTAGCTGAATTGTAATTGTTGCCTTATTCAGCTAACTGAATTACAATTTTGACCCAATTCAGCTAGCTGAATTGCAATTGTTGCCTTATTGCCATTTTGTCCCTATTCAGCTAGTTGAATTATAATTTTTGCTCATTTAGCTAGCTGAATTGTAATTTTTGTCCTAGCTGAATTGCAATTTTTGAACTATTCAGCTAGCGGAATTGTATTTTTTTGTCATTTTGACCCTATTCGGCTAGCTGAATTACAGTTTTTGCTTATTCAGCTAACTGAATTGTAATTTTTGCCCTATTCAGCTAGCTGAATTACATTTTTGGTTATTCAGCTAGATGAATTGTAATTTTTACCCTATTCAGCTAGCTGAATTGCAGTTTTTGATCTATACCGCTAGCTGAATTGCCATTTTGACCCTATTCAGCTGGCTGAATTGCAATATTTTCACAAAATTTTACTTAAAAAAATTCACATTTATCAAAAATATGTCAACGTTACACCCTAATGTCCATAATTGCTCATAACAATGCAACAACTTCTTTTTTAACTTTATTTGCATTTCTTTCATCTTCCATTCGTAATTTATATTTCATATTTTTATTGCTGTTGTTGTTGTCGACAAATTCGCTCTAGAGACCTTATAAGCCCCAAAACACATTACATTAGGGATAAATATCTTGAGTCATTATGGAGGGCAGGAATGGATTGTGAGGAGGTGGGGAATGGGTTATTATTTGTTTGCTGGATGCATTGCGTCTTGACGGATGGTGGATCGTGGCAGGGGAACATTAATTAAGAATCCTCAAAGGGAATATAAGTGGGCATGATGAAACCAAAAGCAACACCAAGGAGGAGGATAGAGTCATAGTGGGTACGGAGGGAAATGAGGGAAGATTTAATTTCATAGAGGTAAAGTTCTGGGATTTTTTTCCAATGCAGAGGCCACTGTGGAATATTTTTTTCTATGGGAAAAATTGATCAGGGCCTTGGGGAAATCTTTTCCAATAGAAAAAAATTTATCAGGACACTGGCGAATATTTTTTTGATGGGAAAAACTTACTTAGGGTCCTGAGTATTTTTTTCTACAGGAAAAATAGCTCAGGCTCCTGGGAACCATTTTTTATGGAAAAAATATTCAGGACCCTGAGCATTTTTTTTTTGTGAATAATTTCTCAGAACCCTTAGGACAAATTTTTCAGTGGGAAAAATATTCTCCGGCCCCTGCGGATTTTTCTTTTCAAATTAAAGCCTTAAATTGCCCTTCTCCGTCTCTGCCTGCAGCTTGAACTGGATGAGTATGAAAACATAGGTCGTGACCGCCAAGGCCATCTGGAAATTTAGAAAAAAATATTTTTAAAATTTAGATATAATTTTGATAAAAAATTCCGGAACTTTGTCTTACCAATCCAAAATATTTCAAATTCATATCGAAAAATCCCCAACAGCTGAAATCCAATTTTTGATGCAGCAGCTGTAGCGAATACTCCCGTTGGCGATTTTTCAAGGCCACGTCGGTGGCGTGGATTTTGAAACTGCCGAGAATTGAGGATAGCTGATTGTACTGCAAAGGTAGGAGGGGGGAGGTCCTCAACATTTTTTTCGCATACAAAATTTGTTCAGGATCCCTGCGGACTACTCTTTTTTTCTATACGAAAAAAATTTCTAAGGGTCCTGACGAATTTTTTCTATACAAAAAAAAATCTTCCGGCCCCCTGATAATTTTTTTTCTACACGAAAAAAATCCTCAGGGGACCCAATCTGACGAATTTTTTTTCTATACGAAAAAATTCCTCCGGGGATCTGACGAATTTTTTTCTATACGAAAAAACTTCCTCCGGGGACCTGACGAATTTTTTTCTGTACGAAAAAAGTTCCTTCGGGGACCTGTCGAATTTTTTTTCTATACGAAAAAAGTTCCTCCGGGGACCTGACGAATTTTTTTTTATACGAAAAAAATCCTCAGGGGACATGACCTGAATTTTTTTCTATACGAAAAAAATCTCAGGGGTCCTGACCTGAACTTTTTTCTATACGAAAAAATCAGGGGACCTGAGGATTTTTTTCTATACGAAAAGAAATCCTCAGGGGACCTGATCTGAATTTTTTTCTATACGAAAAAAATTCCTGAGGGGACCTGACGAATTTTTTTCTACTCGAAAAAGAAAATCCTCAGGGGACCTGTCAAATTTATATCTACACGAAAAATGCCTCAGGGTCCTCAGTAATACCTTACCTTATCCGTACACTCCTGTGTTAGCCAGCAGGCCCAAAACATGCCAATGAAAACCAGTAGAATAAAATAGAAACGATCTGAAACGAAAAACCCGAATCTTTATTCCTTCAAAATCCACTCCGCTTCGATATGGTGTACCTACATCCCTCCAGCGAATCCTTGTCATCCAGGGCAAAAGATCTCACATACATCCAGTTGATGGTGTGGGTTATGGCCACCCCATTATAGAGAAACAGAATCAGCATAGGCAGGCCAAAATAATCCTCAATATATTGGACCAGAAACCAGACCCGACTCAAGAGGAATTGATTGGCCATCAGCTTGCCATAGAAGGGGAAATGCTTCCCAACCTTACCCGGACACGGTGGCTGGTGGCGTATAATTTCAAATCTCAAGAGCAACAAGGATTGTTGCAGAGCCCCCACAAACTCCTTGACAATTAAAATTGTCGAACAATATTCCGCATATTTCGCTTGGATCAATTGAAACGAGAATACGGTCAAAAATCGATCCCGCAGATTTAAAATATCCGATATTAAAGGATAATTAACGCAGCTCAAGAGGATGCAGTGGCTAAGCCAAAATAATCCGCAACGGAAAAATAAACGCTGGCGGAATTTCGCAACCTGCAGTTTAAAATTGATATCCTTTTCAGCAAATACCCCGAAGTGTTGAGAGCAATCCCGACTATACCACAAAAAATCCTGTTCCAATTGGGCAATATTTTTTTGTAACCTTTTGGATCTTTGTCTTCCTCCAAAGGCCATTAAATGCATGGTGATCTGCACGAAAGCCACTGCGATATTTTGTACAATACTCAGGACACTGGTTATGCTGTCCAAGGAATAATGGTCCACATAGGTATAGACCACTAGGTTATTGACATAAACCATCCAAATGACCAGACCTATGAGAATCGCAACATAGAGGGTGTAAAAAATCCATAGAAGTAATTTTTTATAGCATGGGCCTGTTAGGTTCTGGGCCAATGCTGGTGGCAATGCCAGCCCGAAACAGGCATATATCCATTGATAAATTATTGTAGCCCCGATCAATTGGGATTTTTCCATTATCCGTGGTTCGAAGTTGTACTGCATGGCGAAGGATGGGTACTAAAAAAAAATTAGTTCCTAGAGCAGTAACCACAAATTGAAGCTCCCCGAACGTGTGCATATGTCAAATTGATAAATTACTTCGTGATAGGGGCATAAATCTAAAAATCTAAAAGGAGGTGGGTATAAGGATTAAGGAAAAATATTCCTGGGGGTCCGGGTGATTTTTTTCCATGCGAGAAAAAAATCCTCAGGAGACCTGACCAATTTTTTCTATACGAAAAATATTCCTCAGGAGGCCTGAGCAATTTTTTCTATACGAAAAAAGTTCCTCAGGAGGCCTGAGCAATTTTTTCTATACGAAAAAAGTTCCTCAGGAGGCCTGAGCAATTGTTTCTATACGAAAAAAGTTCCTCAGGAGGCCTGAGCAATTTTTTCTATACGAAAAAAGTTCCTCAGGAGGCCTGAGCAATTTTTTCTATACGAAAAAAGTTCCTCAGGAGGCCTGAGCAATTTTTTCTATACGAAAAAAGTTCCTCAGGAGGCCTGAGCAATTTTTTCTATACGAAAAAAGTTCCTCAGGAGGCCTGAGCAATTTTTTCTATACGAAAAAAGTTCCTCAGGAGGCCTGAGCAATTTTTTCTATACGAAAAAAGTTCCTCAGGAGGCCTGAGCAATTTTTTCTATACGAAAAATATTCCTCAGGAGGCCTGAGCAATTTTTTCTATACGAAAAAAGTTCCTCAGGAGGCCTGAGCAATTTTTTCTATACGAAAAAAGTTTTCAGGAGGCCTGAGCAATTTTTTCTATATGAAATAAATAATCTGGTGGCCTGAGCCCTGAGAAAACTATTGAAACACCCATCGAAGTGATTTTTCCTCAACATCCCTTTTATTCGAAAATTGTTTATTAATTTCCAAAACGATTTTCCTTTATCATTCCATTACAATCTGATGGCCTTTTCCGTTTCCGCTTGCAATTTGAATTGCAGCAGTATGAAAACATATGTCAGGATGGTTAATGATAGCTGTAATGGTGTACAATTTTCTTCAATTAGTAAATTTTAAATTTTCTCAAAGTGTTATCTTACCAATCCGAAATATTTCATATTCATATCGAAGAAACCCCAACAGGTGAACTTAATTTCCTGATGTTTCAGCTGCAGCGAATATTCGCGGAGACGCTGAACCAAGGCCAAGTCATTGGCTTTAATTCGAATGCTATGTAAAATGTTGACAATGTGGTGGTACTGCAAAAAATAAAGAGGGTATATTGAAAAGGAGAAAGTGGTCTTTCGATGGCCATGCAGAGAAATTGGTCCTTCGACTTGATAAGAAATCGCTAACATGGCCTCTAAGTCCGATATATTATTATACGGAACATTCAAAATTATTTCATAAATAAATCTCTCAATATTTGACTTCCTCAAACTTTCTGCACCCACTTCGAAGTGCTACAATTCGTCTTTAGTGCAAATTTGGTCCTTCGATATGATTTAAATTGCTTAAATGGCCTCTAAACTATGCCACAAGCAGAAAAAAGTAATTCTATATGCATTTATTGACTTTTAATTAACAATTTTTCTTTGTAGAGGATTTGAATTTTGTGTCAAGCCTGCGTTATTAGTTTTAGCACTTGTTGGTCCTTCGACTTCCTTCAAATTGCTCATATGACTTCTGAACTGTACTATATTATCTACGAAGACCTTGAAAATAATTTTATATTATGCATAAAATAAATTTCTCAATATTTTGTCCTCCTCCAAGCCTCAGCGCCAACTTCTAAGTAATAAAAAGGGCATTTTAATAGCAATTTGGTCCTTCGACTTGCTTTAAATTGCTTAAAATAATTTTATATTATGCACAAAATAAATTTTTCAATATTTTTTCTCCTCCAAGCCTCTGCGCCAACTTCTAAGTAATAAAAAGGGCATTTTAATAGCAATTTGGTCCTTCGACTTGCTTTAAATCGCTTAAGTGGTCCCTCAACTATGCTACATGAATAAAAAATGCCTTCGACATTAATTTATTAATCTATCATTAACTATTTTCCTTAGCAGAGGATTTCAAGTTCGTCTAAAGCTTTCGTAATTCTCATTTTGTGTTTGTTCGTCCTTCGCCATGATTTGGTCCTTCGACATGATTTAAATTGCTTAAATGTTCCTTCGACCTGCATCAAATCGCTTTAATGGTCCTTCAACTATGCTACATAAATAAAAAAAATCCTTGGACATTAATATAAGGGTTTGCCATTAACTATTTCCTTAGTAAGGGCTTTAAATTTCATGTCAAGCTTGGGTAATTACTTATTTGTATTTTTTGGTCCTTCGACATGATTCAAATCGTCAATATGATCTCTCAACTGCCGAATATTATTATACTGGACCATAAAAACTATTTTATATCATGCTAAAATTAAATTTCTAAACATATTCCCTTAACCTGAGTTTCTGCACCCACTTCTCATTAAATCATATAGTTTTCAGTGGCAATTTGGTCCTTCGACGTGATTTAAATCGTACATATGGGCTCTGAACTTTTGAATATTGTCATACTGAACCTTAAAAATCATTTTATACTATCCACAAAACACATTTCTCTGAAAATGCCCCACCTCCAAGTCTCTACACCAACTTCTAAGTAATGCAAGAGGGTTTTAATGACAATTTGGTCCTTAGACATGATTTAAATTGCTTAAATGGCCCTTCAACAATTCTATATGAGTAACAAATTCCTTCCACATTAATTTATTAGTCTCTCATGAACTATTTTCCTTAGCAGAGACTTTGAGTTTTGTGTCAAGCTCTTGTTATTAGTTTTTAGCATGTTTTGGTCCTTCGACAACATTTAAATTGCTCATATGGACTCTAAAGCGCATACTTTTATCATACTGGACTTTAGAAATCATTTTATAATATACACAAAAGACATTTCTCAATATTTTTCCTCATTAAAATTTCTGTATCCATTTCTAAGTGATATAAATGGTTTTCAGTGGCAATTTGGTCCTTCAACATGATTTAAATCGCTCACACAACCTCTGAACTACAGCGCATTATCATACTGGACCTAAAAAATCATTTTAAACATAGCACAAACTAAATTTCTCAGAAATTTCCTTCCGCCATGCCTCTGCACCAACTTATAAGTAATACAAATCGGTTTCAGTGCCAATTAGGTCATTCGACATTATTTCCAGTACTTAAAAGGTCCACCGACTATGTTGTAAAAAAAAATTTACCCTTCAATTCCTCAACATTTCCTATTCCTTAACATTTCCCCTTCTCGACATACATTAAGCTGCTGTAATGGTCCTTCGACTATTCGATATGCCCTGCCATTTGATTCTATACAAAATGTTTACTGCTAACGGTTTTAATTTTTGTTGCATGTCTTGCTGACCGTGTTTCTAGTCTTTGGAAGTGAATTTGGTTCTTCGATTTGATTCAGATTGCTAAAGTAGTCCCTTGACTATGTGATAATTAAGAAATAGCGTGTATATGTTTGTCACAAACTAGTTTTCCGTCCGATATGGTCCTTCGAGCTAAGTAAAATCTCTAAAGTGGTCCTTTTACTATGTAATAACTAGTAAATGGTCCTTCCCTATTAGCTCATATGTCTTAGTAGGAGATTATCAGCACATATCTCCTTGTGAATGGCATTAGTTTCCTTCGCAAGCCTTAGTAATTGAGGTTATCTTTGAATATGGTCCTTCGAAATACATTAAGTTGCTAAAATGTTGTTTATACTCTGGAATATTATATTATAACCCTTCGATATAAGTTGCTATGCCCTAGCATATAAATCGTCTACAGATTTTTCATTGGCCGCTTAAAATTCCTCTTGTAGGTCTTTGTAACCGTGTTTCTGGTCTTTCGACGTGAATTTGATCCTTCGAGTTGGTCTAGATTGCTAAAATTGTCCTTCGACTTTGTGATAATTAAAATATGGCCCTTCTGCACTAATGTAGATTATCTTAAGTTTAAATATCCGCATTTATTAAATTACGGTATTGATTTTGTTCAGTGAGTTTTTCTGTGAAGTTGGTCCTTCGACATGAGGTTAATAGCTAAAATTGTTCTTCGACTATGTGATAAATGTAAAATGGTCCTTCAGTTTAAGTTTATATGGCTAAAACTCTATTCTCTATATTGATTTTCCTCAGTGATGTTTTAAATTCCATCTCAGACTTCTGTATTTCAATTTTCTCTGAATTTGGTCCTTCAATATTAGTTTCTATGGCTTAGCACTCGATTCTCCCTAGAGCTTTTCGTGGGAGAGGTTTTCATTTTTGTTGCAGTTTGGTCCTTCGACTTGGGCTAAATTGCTTAAATGGTCCATCGACTATGTGATACATATTAATTTATTTTATATGCATTTGTAGATTCTAATATTTTAATCTTGTCAAAGATCTTCCTGGGTGTGGTTGTAATTTCTTTTCAGACTTCCGTAATTGAGTTTATCTACGAATTTGGTTCTTCGTCATGATTTAAATGGGTAAAATGGTCCTTCGATCAGGTGATAAATATAAAAGGAATCTTCGATATTAATATCTTGGGCCTAGGACTTCAATCTCTGTCACGTTTTGCTTGCGAATGCGTTAGATTGCCTGGCTGACTTCATTAACTGAGTTTATATTAGAATTTGGTCCTTCAAAATGATTTAAATGTCACTTCGACTACGCGATAAATATAAAATGAAACTTCTCTATTAATTTTTGGACCTAGCACCCAAGTCTCTACATTACTTTCCTTTTGAATGGGTTTGGCTGTCTCTCTGACTACATTAGCTGAGATTTTATTGGTATATGGTTCTTCGTCATGATGTAAATGTCTAAAATGGTCCTTCGACTATGCGATAAATATAAAATTGACCTTTCCTATTAATTTCTATGGCCTATGACTTCAATCTTTGTTTTGTTTTTCTCGCGAGTGGATTTGGTTGCTTGTCTAACTCCTCTAACTAAGTTTTTAAATTAATTTTGTACTTCATCTAAGAGTAAATGGCTAAATTGGTCCTTCGATCAGATGATAAATATGAAATGGAATTTCTCTATTAATTTCTTGGACCTAGCACTTAGGTTTCCATATTGATTTCTTTTTGAGTGCGTTTGGCTAGCTCTCTGTCTCCCTTAACTGAGTTTTTTAATGAATTTGGTCCTTTGTCATGATGTAAATGACTAAAATGGTCCTTCGATCAGGTGATAAATATAAATTGGACCTTCTTTATGATGTTATGGCACCTAACACTTCAATCTCTATACTGGTTTACCTGGAAATTAGATTGATTGCCTGTTTGTATTCATTAATTAAGTTTTTATAGGAATTTGGTCCTTCGAGATGATTTAAATGGCTACAATGGTCCTTCGACCAGGTGATAAATATAAAATGGTCCTCCAAATTAAATCTATTTGGCCTAGAACTTGTATCGCACATTTTTTTCGGAAGACGGATTCGATTCCCACTCAGACTTCGGTAACTGAATTTTTCCATCAAGAATTTGGTCCTTCGAGATGATTTGAATTCTTTAAATGATCTTTCGATTATGCTATAAATATAAAATAGACCTCGTTTATTAATTTCTTGGGCCTAACACCTGATTTTCCGCACCATTTTTCCTGATAAAGGCTTAGCTTCTCTCTCAGACTTTGTTATCATACTTTTTCAGAGAATTTGGTCCTTCGAGATGATTTAAATTTTTAAAATGGTCCTTCGATTATGCGATAAATGTTAAATAGTCCCTCAACTTATGTAAACATGACCTAGTACTTGATTCTCCGCATAGCTTTTTCCTGAGAACTATTTAGCCTCCTTCTCTGACTTCGGAAATTGAATTTTTGCAGAGAATTTAGTCCTTCGAGATGATTTAAATCGCAAAAATGGACCTTCAACTATGCGATAGTTAGGAAATCGTTCTCCAATTTAAGTCCACAAGGCCTAGCTCTCTTTTCTTCATATATAACGGCTAACATTAATTTCTAATTCTATATTTTTGGTCTTTCGAGTTGATTTAAATTTGTAAATATGGCCCTGCAACTATGTCAGAGTTAGGAAATCATTCTTCGATTTAAGTTCACAAGGTCTATTAATTTATGATTCCAATTGTAATAGTTCAAATGCATTTCCTATTCCATACTATAGTTCTTGAGTAATTTTGGGTCCTTCGACTTAATTTTAAAATCTGAGGTTTCTTAGTCCCCTTTACCTTATCGATACACATTTGACTGAGCCAACAAGTCCACAGCATATTCAAAAACAGTAAAATGATGTACGCAAAGCGATCTGCAATGGGAAAAATTATTTTAAATTCGAGTTAAATTCAAGTTCGGGAAATTTGCAAATACTTACACGGATGCTTTCGATCCTTTTCATTGCGTCGAAATGATTTCACATATATCCAATTAATAGTGTGCGTTATATTTATACCATTATATAGGAAAAGTATGAGCATGGGTAGGGAAAAATAGGCTTCGATTAACTGGACCAAAGACCAAAAACGACTGAGTAGAAATTGATGGCTTCTCAATTTCCTATAAAGAGTAGATTCTCCTGCTCCTACGCAGTTACCTAATAAATCATGGCGTGCTATTTCATATTTAAGGTTGATTAAAGAATCTTGCAGGGCACTGATTAGCTCGTTGAGGACACTCATCATAACCCTGTATTCCGAACATTTGCTATGCATCAAATGAAAACTGAAGAGTGTTAGAAATTTATCCCGGCCACTAAGATTATCCCAAATCATGGGAAATTTGGCATAGCACTGCAGCACAGTGTGCAAAACGAAAAATATTCCGCAGCGAAGGAAAAGCCGGCGACGGAAGGAGGAACAACGCCTTTTGAATAAATCGGATTTATCTTCAAGAGATTTTTGATATCCCACAATATCCTGCTCCAATTGGGCAATAGTTTCATGAATCTGCATTAAAGTTTTCCGACCAAAAAACGTGGCCAAGGCCATGGCCAGTTGGACACACACCACATCGTAATTTTGTACAATGCTTAGGATTTTCGTAACACCATCCAGGACATAACGTTGCACCACAATATCCACAATCAAATTGTTATCCCAGACCATCCACATAACCACATAATTGAGGAGTAACACATGCAGGACATAAAACAGCCAGGTTAGAGCGGAGACAACTTTTTGTAGCCTTCCCTCAGCATTTCTCCTTAGTAAAAGCGGGGGCAAGGCTATGCCACACAGAGCATAGAACCATTGAAAGGTTAAAATTCCCCTGACCAGCTGCGATTTTTCCACAGCGGAAGGTTTTACGTAGTTCGCCATTGGGGAGTTGGAAATGAACTGAAAGAAAATTTATTATTCCTTCAGTCGGCTACGAGATTTTGGTAGAATGATAAGGTCTTGGTTGACAAGTGACAAAGTTGCGGCAATAAATTGTTCAAGCTTAGGTCGTATATTTTTGAGGTATTTTAATTCCAATTTGGTTTTAGTTATGCCGAGCACCGGACAAGGTTCATTGTGGGAAAATTCCCAGCTACTTAGGGCCCTGATGCCGCTACAATGGTTCTATGCCTGCTGCGGGGTGGCTTTGCCACCGATTTTGATACAACCTCCCCGAAAAAACTCCCCAAAAATCTTCGCTCTTCTAATATGGTTCCTATTTTCCCTCTATGTGACCCTTTTGAATATCCTGGTCTCCTGGATGGTCTGCAAGAGTAATGAAATCCTGGAGCAAGTTGTGCAACTCTATATTCTCGATGAGGTAACAAAAATCCTAACTGCCGTTCAAACCTATGATGTCGTGGCCGTGCAATTGGCAATGCTGTGGTGCATCTTTTGTAAACGAAAAACCCTGAGGGAGATCCATAAAATTGTGGCCGAACTGGAACGCGATATTTGCCTATTTGAAAAATCTCTGGAGGATAAAAGCGAGGAATTTCAAAAATCCTGCTACCGATTCCGCCGCAGACTCTTCAGCCGATGTGTAGTATTTTTAATTCTGCACAGTTTCCTCCTGGGCTATGCCAAATTTCCATTGGTCTGGTATTCCCTTTCGAACTTTGGAAAATTGCTAATTTTGATTACCTTCCACCTGATGCATGCTAAGTGTTCGGAATATCGCATTATGATGCAGTTACTCGATGAAATAATAACTGCTCTTTTATTCTCCCTCATGAATTTAAAATATGAAATTGCTCGCCATCAAATATTGGGAAGTTGTGGTGCGATCAAGGAGTCCAAGCTCCATGAAAAACTGAGGTCGCATCAATTCCTTGTCGCTCGTTATTGGTATTTGATAAAACTGGTGGAATCCTATTTTGCCCTGCCTATGCTGGTACTTTTCCTCTATAATGGTATTAACGTTGTTCACAGCATTAATTGGATATATGTGCGAACATTTATTCATATGCATTTGGATACGAAGCATCCAAGTAAGTTCAGATTTTCTCCGGGGTAAGATCACGCTTGAATAGTATTTTCCTTTGCAGATCGTGCCAGTTATATTATTTTGCTATTTATTAATATCATGTGGACCTGTTGGCTAAGTCAAATATGTATTGATAAGGTGGGTACTGGCGTAAGGAATGAAAATCGCACAGGTCGAAGGACCAATGTAAAGCACGTCGAAGGACCAAATTGCTCGTTAAGCTTATTTGAATTACTTGCAAGTGGGAACACAAAGTTTGAGGAGGGAAAACGTTGGGAAAATTGTACGTATATAATATTACATGACTTTAAAGCCTCCGCGAGATAATATTCTGCCTATCAGAGGGCATTTTAGCGATGTAAATAATGTCGAAGGACTAAATTGCTCGAGAACCCAATGTGCAATACTTGGGAGTAAGGAGCAAACACTATTAGGAGGGGAAATGTTGAGAAATTGATTTAGTTGATAAAATAAAATGAATTTGAGGGCCTATTTTGATAATATCCCGCAGATAAAAGGTCAAATTTGCAATTAAAAGCATGTCGAAGGACCAAATTGTTCGAAACCCGTAGTTGCTGTTGTTTGAAGTGGGAGCTGAAAGTTAGAGGAGGGAAAACGTTGATGAAATTATATCGTGTATAAAATTAAATGACTTTGAAGGCTCCCGCAAGATAATATTCGACAGATCAGAAGGCATATTAGCGAATTGAATCATGTCGACGGACCAAATTACCCGAAACTCTCATTTGCAATACTTGGTAGCCTGAGCAAAAGCTAATAGGAGAGGAAATATTGAGAAGTTGATTTTTTGAATGCCATAAATTGAATTTGAAGCTCCCGCAAGATCATATTTTATATGTCAGAAGCCATAATATAAATCCGCAGGTAATAACACATGACAATATTATCAATTTTTTTTGGATAGTATGTCGAAGATCATATTCTGATATCCATATTAAGAAAACATGAGAAAAGAGATTTATGCAGATTTAAAAACACAAATTATGACTCTAATCAGGTAAAAGGGTTAAGAAACGTAAATGGTAGCCTAATAAACACACATCGAACGACCATTTAATATTAATTACATACTCGACGAACCATTTTTGGAATTTAACGCATGCCGAAGGACCAAATTCCCACTAAAATCCATTGAAATTACTTTGAAGAATGTGTAAAAACTTTAACAAGAGGATTTATTGAGAAATTGGTTTAGAGGATAGTATTAAATGACTTTGAGGGTCCTTTGTGTTTATATTCTGTTGGTCAGATAGCATATTAGTGATTCAAATCACATCGAATGGGCTATAAATTTCAAATTTACTATTTTTGTTTCGAATATTTTTTTTTCAATTTCTGATTTTTCAGTATCAACAAATGGCCAACATTTTACATAGCATTAAATTACCGGTCAATGATTTGTCTTTAAGGCATCGCCTTCGTGAATATTCCCTGCAGTTGAAGCATCAGAAAATTCAGTTTTCCTGTTGGGGTTTCTTCGACATCAATATGAAATATTTTGGTTTGGTAAGATGAGATTTCCGGAAAATTGAAAAAAAATATTTCAAAATAAATGAAATTATTTTATTACAGATGTCATTGGCGATATTGACATATGTCTTCATTCTATTACAATTTAAAATGCAAGAGCAAACTGAAAAAGTTAAGAGATTGTAAATAAATATTTGAATTTAATAAAGTGAATATTTGAAACTAAAAACATAAAAGAGTTGTATTTTGCTGGTATTACGAAGGTCCATTGACTATTTTAATTAGTCAAAGGAACATTCAAACTAGCCGAAGGACCATTTAAATCAAATCGAAGGACCAAATTTACTCTTACTACCGAAGTCTGAGAGAGAAACTCAAGCAGCTATCAGATGTGAGGAGATTTAAGTGAGGATTTTTGAGGACATTTCGACATTTCACATAGTCGAAGGACCATTTCTGTAATTTAAATAATTTCAAAGGATCACATTTACGGAAAAACTCAATTATCGGCGTCTGAGGTAGATTCTCAAGCATATACCAGAAAATATGTGATGAGATTTATATGTTGGACCAAATAAACTAATAACGATCGACTATTTTGAATTTTAAAAATGGTCGAAGGACTATTTAAGAAATGAGATTCATGTCGAAGGACCATATTTCAAGAAATTCGCAATTATCGAAGTGTGAGTGAGATTCTTAGGAAGTTATCAGAAAATATGTGAGGTAATTTAGTTCCTGAACCAAATAAACTGAAAACGAAGAACTATTTTGTATTTATCACATGCTCGAATGACCATTTTAGTAATTTTATTCATGTCGAAGGACCAAATTGACGGAAAAAAGCAATTATCTAAGTCTGAGAGAGAATCTTAAGAAACTACCAGGAAATATGTGAGTAGATTTAAGTGTTGGACCTAATAATCGAAAAACGGAGAACCACTTTGAGCTTATCACATGGTCCAAGGACCATTGAATCACTTTAAATTATGTCATCATGCCGAAGTACCAATTTGATGGACCAACTCAATTATCTGAGAGGGAATCTTAGGAAGCTATCAGAAAATATGTGAGGAGTTTTAAGTGCTGGGTCAAATAAACTAACAACGAAGAACAATTTTGTATTTATCACATGGTTGAAGGACCATTTAAGTAGTTTAAATCATGTCGAAGGACCATATTTATGGAAAATCTCAGTTATGGGACTCTGAAAGGGAATCTTCGTAAGCTACATGTATATATGTGAGGAAATTAAAGTGTTGGACCAAAAAACTAACAACGAAGGACTATTTTGTATTTATCACACGATCGAAGGTCCTCTTAGGCAATCATGTCGAAGGACCAAATTTATGAAAAAAAATCATTTACCGAAGTCTGAGAGAGAACCTTAGGAAGCTATTAGAACATTTGTGAGGAGATTTAAGAGCTGGATCAAATAAACTGAAACCAAAGGACCATTTTGAGTTTATCACATAGTCGAAGGACCAATTAGGCAATTTACATCATGTCGAAGGACCAAATTGATGGAAAAACTCAATTATCTTGGTCTGAGGGGGAATTTTGGGAAGCTTTAAGTAAATATGTGAGGTTATATAAGCGATAGACCTAATAAATTAACAACGAAGGTCCATTTTGAATTTTTCACATGGTCGAAGGACCATTTTAGCAATATAAATCATATCGAAGGACCAAATTCAGGTTCTTTATCCCCCTCCTAGAGATCGCCACACGTTCAAGTATATTTATCTTGTGGAGACTTTTTTTGTTCACATATCTTTATTCCGTTATTCAGTCACCATCACCATTTCCCACCTAACCACATCTTTGACTAAATCCGCAACTGGTTCGGCTAAAATGTCGACATGTTTGTGATGATAATGATATTTTATATTTTGTTTACAAAACAGACATTTGTGCCACACAACAACAGCAACAACACAAAAATAGAAGATGATGATAATAATGTCAGTAACATTTTGCAACATCCTTGGGGTAGACCACCCTGTACGTCAAACACATGGCTGATGTTGCCCGAGGCCAGCAAACAAATAAACAGCCAACCATCCATTCCAACCCCCTTTTTATGAAATTTTGCCTTCATTCCTTTGGGTTAATGCACTGCTTTTTTCTCGTGAACTATGCCAAAGGCATTTTCTACAACACAAACTGAACCAGGAACCTTGTTGGTCCTTAATTCATTCACCCTTGGTACTTGAAGGCAAGATGAGGATGGAGGATGCTGCTGCAGGATAATTTAGAGAATATGCAACATTTTGTGTGAGATAATAGCCTTGGAGAGTATTCCAGATACGGAAAGAGAGGAGAGTGGATAAAGGAGAGTAAGGAGAGAGAGACAGAGAGAGTTGGATGAGAGTTAGAGGCTCATTGCCTTTAACCATAACCCTCATTAACCCAGTCTAATCCAGGGGTGGTTTGTTGTCCTAGGTGGCATGGTGGTGGATCTGTTTCCTGGTCATGGTGGTGCAAATACACACCCCCTCCCTTGTGGATATGTTGCATTTTCGTTATGGTTTCCTGCTTTAACTTAGATTACTTTGATTACCTATCTTCGTACCTAGGTTACCAAGGTATCACTTTTGATTTCCAAACGGAAAGTTAAAATGCAAAGGTATTCATTCAACTTGGAATGGAGATAGAGATTTATTGCAGGAAACTGTACCAGCATTTGTGAGGTCCTTTAGCAGGGTGGTAAGGAAATGTAATACGATTTATATAAGTAATTTATAAATGTAATTGGTTAATTAAGTAATAACATATATTTACGCCCATGATCGAAGTATTTCCACGGAAATACTTCAATCATGAAGCCTGAGAGCGAATCTGAAGAAGGTACAATAAAAAGTGTGAGGAGATTTACATGCTGGGTAAAAAAATAAGAATGAAGGACCATATGATATTAAACAAATGCTCGAAGGACCATTTAAGCAATTTAAATCATGTTGAAGGACCAAATTTACTGTAAAACTCAACTTCTGAAGTCTGAGAGGGAATCTCAGGAAGCTACAAAATAATATCAGAGAAGAGTTATGTGTTGGACCAAATAAACTAAAAACGAAGGACTGTTATGTATTTATCACATGGTCGAAGGACCAAATTCATGAAAAAAAACTCAATTATCGAAGTCTACGAAGAAAACTCAAACTTCTACCAGAAAATATGTCGGGAGATTTATGTGTTGAACCAAATAAACTAACAGTGAGGGACAATTTTGTTTTCATCACATGGTCGAAGGGCCATTTATTTAATTGAAATCACTTCGAAGTACCGAAAATATGAAAAAACATCAATCATGAAGCCCGAGAGGAAATTTGAAGAAGCTACAATAAAATATGTGAGGATATTTAAATGCTGGGCCAAAAAAAACTAAGGATTTAGGACCATTTGGTATTTACCGAAGTCTGAGAGAGAACTTAGGAAGCTATTAGAACATTTGTGAGGATATTTAAGAGCTGGATCAAATAAACTGAAAGCAAAGTACCATTTTGAGTTCATCCCATAGTCGAAGGACCAATTAGGCAATTTAAATCATATCGAAGGACCAAATTGACCAAGAACGCAATTATTGAAGTCTGAGAGGGAAGCTACAAGGAAATATCAGAGAAGAGTTATGTGCTGGACCCAATAAACTAAAAACAAAGGAACATTTTGTATATATCATATGGTCGAAGGACCACTTAGCCAATTTAAATCATGTCGAAGGACCAAATTCATGAAAAAACTCATTTACCGAAGTCTGAGAGAACCTTAGGAATCTATTGCAAAATTTGTGAGGATATTTACGAGCTGGATCAAATAAACTGAAACCAAAGGATCATTTTGAGTTTATCACATAGTCGAAGGACCAATTAGGCAATTTAAATCATGTCGAAGGACCAAATTGATGGAAAACTCAATTATCGAAGTCTGAGGGGGAATTTTGGGAAGCTTTAAGTAAATATGTGAGGTTATATAAGCGATGGATCCAATAAACTAAAAACGAAGGAGCATTTTGTATATATCATATGGTCGAAGGTCCACTTAGGCAATTTAAATCATGTCGAAGGACCAAATTCATGAAAAAACTCATTTACCGAAGTCTGAGAGAAAACCTTTGGAAGCTATTAGAACATTTGTGAGGAGATTTAAGAGCTGGATCAAATAAACTGAAACCAAAGGACCATTTTGAGTTTATCACATAGTCGAAGGACCAATTAGGCAATTTCAAGCATGTCGAAGGACCAATTAGGCAATTTAAATCATGTCGAAGGACCAAATTGATGGAAAACTCAATTATCGAAGTCCGACGGGGAATTTTGGGGAACTTTAAGTAAATATGTGAGGTTATATATTCGATGGACCCAATAAACTAAAAACGAAGGAGCATTTTGTATATATCATATGGTCGAAGGACCACTTAGGCAATTTAAATCAAGTCGAAGGACCACTTAGGCAATTTAAATCATGTCGAAGGACCAAATTCATGACATGATTAAAAAATCCACGCCTATGCTAGGCTATCAAAAATATTTTTAAAAAAATCTACGACTATGCTAGGCTACCAAAAATTATTTTTTAAAAAATCCACGCCTAGGCTAGGCTACCAAAAATATTTTTTAAAAAAATCCACGCCTAACGTAGATGGTAAAAAAATTGGTGTTTTGGTTCCGCAACACTGTCCTGCCTTTGTCTGAAGTGGAATTGTTATTTCAATTTTTTTCTGGTCATTTTTTTTTATTTCAAGCACTTTCCCCCAAAAAAATACTTTAAAAAAATCCACTCATATTTGCAAGTTATTGTCTCCAGAGATCTGTCTGTTTGATGTGATACTTGTCTGCAGTTGACTGTGTCTGGCCCCTGAGTTTGAATAGTAATTTTTTGGTTTCAAAAGATTTCAATTTTTATTGTAAAAAAAAAAACTCCGAAACTGTCATCGTTAAAATGGGGTGTAACCTTATTTGCATTACATATTGCTACCCCAGCTACTCTTTCTCACCGTCAGAGGACGTCTGGCTTATGGTCCTGTGGTTCCTTTAATTACAATTACGCTGGCCACAAGGGCTGATGGGTGGATGGTGAAGGGGGAGGAGATGGCAAACAAAGTTTGCAAAAAAATGGGGGAGTGCCGAACAAAAGATTGATGGCTGCCGTTTGTGTACTCAGGTGTATGAAATGGAAAGTTGTTGATGAGGACGATGATGAGGATGATGGACATGATGACGAATTGACCAAGAAGGACATTGATGGGGGAAATATAGAGGAATTCAAATATAAAGGATAAGGGAAATGTTAAGGGTTTAAATCCACGCCAATGTTGGGTGACAAAAAATATTTTTAAAAAAAATTCGGGCCTATTCTAGAGACCAAAAAATATTTTAAAAAAAAATCAGGAACAAAAATTCTGAACAAAAAGCCCCATTTTTTATTTTTTTAAAATCATTTATTCTATTTACCCTCCCATTCCCCTCGTATCATATCGGCCGCCTTTTCCGCCACCATAAATATCACAGCATTTGTGTGGGCCGTTGGTGGGTTGGGTATTATACCCCCGTCGACCACCCTCAACTTACGTATCCCATGCACCTTCAATTGTGTACTCACCACAGCTGTGGGATCCGATGCCGGCCCCATTCTTGTTGTGGCCACCTGATGATGTAGCGTATAGGTCATAGTTCGTATTGAACATCGCCAATAATCATCCGATGCAAATTCGAAATTTTCACACCCCGGCACTGGGGTCCTCAACAATCTCGCCCCAATTCTCTGCATGGCTGGGGTTTGGGAAATCCTTATCGATTCCTTTATGCCATGCAACATATATTCCACATCCTCTTCGACTGCGAAATAATTTGGATCTATCATTGGCCGGGCCAAAGGGTTTTTATCCTTCAACCACACTCGCCCTATGGATTTCGGGTGATAGGGCATAACCAAAACCGAATAGTGATCCTGATTTTCCAATTGGCGATACATTTTCTCATAGATTTCATTTTTGAAGTTTGCTCCCGGTTTGAGGGCTGTACCCTGATCTGAGGCCAAGCTGCCGGAAGCAAAAATCAATTCCACATCTGGCCAATCGGGTGGCAGAGGTGAAAAGGGTGCCTTGAGTATGGCCAGGGCTTCCACACCTGCCAAAGTTGATAAAGCCGTATCCGGTCTACCGGCCACAAAACCCAAAATATTGGGCAGGGTGGCCGCCAATCCAGTCGAGCTCCATTGTCTTGTGGTGTTCGTGACAAAGGTGGGACCAAAATGCGAGACATGTTCATACATGCGCACACCTACCGGCAACTCTTGTACAATATCCACTCCGATTCGTTGTAGATTATCCGCCGGGCCAATTCCCGACAGCATTAGCAGTTGAGGAGATATAAATGACCCCGCCGAGAGTATGACCTCCTTACGGGCCCTGAAGGTATACCGTCGTTTGCGATATAAAAATTCCACACCATAGGCAGATCTGGTGGCGGGATCCAGCAGAACCTTGGTAACCCTGGAGTAGGTGAAAATTTTCAAATTTCTACGTTGAAACATTATGGGTTCAATATAGGCCCGATAGGCACTGTGGCGCCTACCCTGACGTGTTGAGGCCTGCACATAGGCCACTCCCACCTGGGAGGCTGCATTGTAATCCGTCAATGGTAATCCTGCCTCTTGGGAACCCTGCACAAACGCATGAACAATTTGGGTGCGGAATTTAATGTGTTCCACATTAAGAGGTCCTGAACGATTCCGATACGGTGATTGCTCCAGGCCATCTAGTACAGCATTTTCCATTTTACGAAAATATGGCAGGACTTCATCATACGACCAACCGGTATTTCCCGCTGCCGCCCAACCATCAAAGTCACGACGATTACCACGTATAAAAATCATAAAATTGATGCTACTTGTCCCTCCCAGCAGCCGACCTCGAGGATGGAAGCAGACATTGTTGACCATACCCTTACAGGAATCTTTTTGCGGTACGGCAGGGAAATTCCAGGTGGAGGCTGTCACTTGAAGATATGCGGCCAGCGAAGGTATCACATTGACAATATTTTCAGTGCCTCCCGCCTCGAGTAGGGCCACCCTCCAATTGGGATTTTCCGAAAGGCGATTGGACAGAACACTGCCGGCGGTGCCTCCACCAACCACAATGAAATCGAAGACATCGTTGTCCTTGGGGACTGGAGGGGGAATGAAAGAAAATTTTTAAGAATTTCAAGGAGCCTGGGAAAATTTCTCCACCTACCTGTGGGCCTTAGGATCTGCTCTGCGGTATTGGTGAGCCCAATTTGGGCAATTTGTTGTAAAATATTCGCCGCAGTCAAATATTGTTCCACTATCAAACATGTTAAGGCAAGCAATGCTTTGAGGCAAAGCATTTTGAAGTGACCCGACTTGGCGCACGCGCAACAACTTCAGCCGGAGAGTGTCAATTTTATTGTGAACTTGACTTAAAGGCAATTGACAGGTTTTAAATACGTGATGATAATTAATTATTACAAAAGATCAGTACCCTACACGAGGTATAAGCGACAGGGGCAAAAACAGCTTGGATTTGGAGAATAAAAGACCTCGTCTCATGATTCACTCGCATAAAAGCGAAATGCTTCTACATCAGTCTCATTTGCGCCCATGCTCCGACCCTAGAAACAGCATATGGCCGTTGCCCTGGCCATGACATTAAAATTCTGCTAGGAGATTTTAATGCAAAAATCGGAAGGGAAAATATTTTTGGCCCCACTTTCGGAAAATTCAGCCTACACGAAGAAACATCAGACAACGGCATGAGGTTGATTGACTTCGCGCGGCAGCAAAAAAACATGGTAGTTAGCAGCACCAGATTCAAGCATCTCGATATACACAAGGTCACTTAGATTTCTCCCGATCGAACAACAAAGAAATCAAATCGATCATGTTGTGATAGACGGAAGACATTCATTTAGTGTTTTAGACGTCCGATAGATCCGCGGAGCGAATATCGATTCGGACCATTACCTTGTGGTAGCCAAGGTACGCATCCGCCTTAATGCAGTAGCAAAGGTGCGATCTAATTTAACACGGAAATTTGACATCGAAAAGCTGCAAACACAACAGATAGCAGAAGCCTACTCCGCTCAACTTACCCAACTGCTTGACGAAAGCACCCCTTGTCCCGATAATAATATAGAAGCACAATGGCAGAAAATTGCCCACTACCTACAAACTGCAGCAAAAGCAACACTTGCCGTACCAAAGACCACCATCAAGAAATCCGTGGTACGATCAGGAGTGTCGTAATGCTACTGATGTGAAAAATGCAGCGTATAGGGCAACCCTGCGACACGTAATGCGATGGATAACTATCGGTAGAAAAGGAGAGAGGAGAATCGCATTTTCCGAAAAAAGAAGAAAGAACAAGAAAAACTTGAGCGTGAGCAAATCAAGATGTACAGGAGTCAGAATAAAGTCCGAAAATTCTGCCAACGGGTAAAACACCAATCCGAAGGCTTTGGTGCAGGCATATCCTCCTGTAGAGATGAAGAAGGAAAGCTGGTAACAGATACAAACAGCGTGCTGAGAATCTGGAAGGAGCATTTTGAAAAACTTCTGGTATCAAATAGTAGCGGTGAAGAGGATGACGGTATACATGAAGTCAGAATAGCAATCAATCGGCTGAAGAATAATAAAGCAGCAGGGGCCGATGGGTGAAAAGCAAGAACAAGAAAAGCTTGAGCGTGAGCAAATCGAGATGTACAGGAGTCAGAATAAAGTCCGAAAATTCTGCCAACGGGTAAAACACCAATCCGAAGGCTTTGGTGCAGGCATATCCTCCTGTAGAGATGAAGAAGGAAAGCTGGTAACAGATACAAACAGCGTGCTGAGAATCTGGAAGGAGCATTTTGAAAAACTTCGGGTATCAAATAGTGGCGGTGAAGAGGATACCCCAGAACCAATAATATATGACGGTATATAGTGTATAACACCTAGCCAACATGAAGTCAGAATAGCAATCAATCGACTGAAGAATAATAAAGCAGCAGGTGCCGCCGATGGGTTACAAGGCGAACTATTCAAGAATGGTGGTGGTCAGATACTGGTAAGGAGCATGCACCAGCTGATTAGTACAATTTGGCTAGAAGAATGCATGCCCAATGATTGGAACCTCAGCATCCTGTGTTCTGTGAGACAAGACGATATGTGCCAACTATAGAGGAATAAGTCTCCTTCCTATCGCATATAAAGTGCTATCCAGTGTGCTGTGTGAACGATTGAAGCCAATGGTCAATGACATTATTGGACCATACCAATCTGGCTTCAGACCTGGCAAATCCACCATTGACCAGATTTTCACTCTGCGCCAAATCCAGGAAAAAAACCCACGAAAAACACATCGACACATTCCATCTTTTCGCCGACTATAAAGCCGCACTCGACAGCCCTATCCGTTCAGAGGTGTTAAAAACCATGTCTGCATTCGGTATTCCTGAAAAATTAATACGGCTATGCAGGATAACTTTAATTGACACAAAATCAGCAGTTAAAGTCGTAAAGGACCTCTCGGAGCTCGTTTAATACCGAACGAGGGTTCAGACAAGTTGATAGTTTGTCGTGTGACCTTTTTAACATCCTGCTGGAAAAGGTCATGCGAGAGGCAAAGGTGAACTGTGAAATGGGACTTTGTACACCAAACAACACATGTCACTCGCCTACACCGCCGATGATATCGACATAATGGGTCGAACATTGAGAGCGGTAGCAGTCACCTTTGAACAAATTGAGAAGGAGTCTGTCAAAGTGGGTCTGACGGTAAACGGCGAGAAGACCAAGCTGATGGTATCAAAGCGGAAGACGTCCAGTAGACTCGGACCAACTGTGGAACTTGAGAACTACAGCTTCGAGGTAGTTACAGATTTTTTTATACCTTGGTACCGCCATAAACTAAACGAATGACATCAGTTTTGAAATTCGGAGAAGGATAGTGATGGCCAACAGATGCTACTATGATCTAAGTAAGCAGTTTAGAAACAAGACCACCTCCCGCCAGACCAAACTCACACTCTACATGACACTGATACTACCCGTGCTGTTATGTGGATCTGAAGCATGGGTACTTAAAGGTGAACAGAAATGTACACCAAACAACACATGTTTCTCGCATACGCCGATGACATCGACATAATGGGTTGAAAATTGCGAGCGGTAACAGCCACCTTTGAACAAATTGAGAAGGAGTCTGCCCAAGTGGGCGTGGCAGTAAACGGCGAGAAGACCAAGCTGATGGTATCAACACGCAAGACGTCCAGTAGACTCGAACCAACTGTGGAACTTGAGAACTACAGCTTCGAGGTAGTCAAAGATTTTATATACCTAGGTACCGACATAAACCCAAAACGAATGGCATCAGTTTTGAAATTCGGAGAAGGATAATGATGGCCAACCGATGCTACTATGGTCTGAGCAAACAACTCAAAAGCAAGGCCACTTCCCGCCAGACCAAAATCACACTCTACAAGATACTGATACTACCCGTGCTGTTATATGGATCTGAGGCATGGTTACTTACGCAAGCAGATGAGGCAGCTCTTGGAGTGTTTGAGAGAAAAATTCTCCTAAAGATTTATGGGCCGATCTGCGTTGACGGTGAATATCACCGTCGAATGAACCATGAGTTGTTACAGCTGTTCTTGGGCATCGACATTGTTAGATGTATTGAACTGCAGCGACTACGTTGGCCAGGTCATGTTGTGAGAATGGCGGATGAAGATGCCCCAGCCCATAAGGTATATAAATGCGAACCAGCCAGATGGTTCACGCAGAAGGGAAAGGCCACTAAGACGATGGAAAGATCAAGTGGAGGACAACATTGCCGAATATGGTCTTTCAAATTGGAAAAACTGCGCAAAAGACCGACGCGCCGGGAAATCTTTTCTAAGCTCGGCCTATGGAACGAAAGTTCTGTCACAAGCGAGCTAAGTAAGTACCAAAGGTGTCGATTTTTTTAAAAAAATATTTTTTGGTATTTACCAAAGGCGTGAATTTAAAAAAAAATATTTTTTGTTTAGGGCCCTCCTTAGTCGGCGTCAGCCTCGTGTAATTATTTTATATTCGTACCATTCACTTAGGGATAACATGTTTTTGTTGTTGTTGCATTTGCCTTATTACCAGATTTAATATCGAATTGTTTTTTTTTTGTTTGGGATTATGAAAATAATTATAAATTTTTTCCAACATTATTCTCCACTAACCGAGATGTAATAAATTTTGAAAATAAATGTTAAAATCTTGTTCGAAATTGAAATAAATATTTTGTTTTTGTGTTTCGTTTTGAGGTTGAAAATTGTAATAACACTGTCAATGTGGCAATTATTGATGAAATCTGTCTTAATCTTGTTTACGATGTTCGCTGACATATGAAGGTGTGTTTGTGTGTTTTTATGATAAATATAATATTGTTGTTGTTATTCTCGATACTTTCATTCATGAAGTGGAAATTTATTTATTATTCATCAGGAGGGTTTAAATTTTATTTAAGGGTCAACGACCCTCAGTTTAATATTTTATTTATAGAAAAAATTCTCAAGACCCTCAGGTTGCTATTTTTTTTTCTATAGAAAACAAATTCTTAAGACCCCCGGGACGCTATTTTTTTACTATAGAAAAAAATTCTCGAGACCCTCAGGTCGCTTTTTTTTCTATAGAAAAAAATTCTCGAGACCTCAGGTCTCTATTTTTTTCTATAGAAAAAAAATCTCTCGAGACCCTCAGGTCTCTATTTTTTTCTATAGAAAAAAAATCTCTCGAGACCCTCAGGTCGCTATTTTTTTTCTATAGAAAAAAATTCTCTCGAGACTCTCAGGTCGCTATTTTTTTTCTATAGAAAAAAATTCTCTCGAGACTCTCAGGTCGCTATTTTTTTTCTATAGAAAAAATTCTCAAGACTCTCAGGTCGCTATTTTTTTTTTCTATACAAAAAATTCTCTCGAGACCCTCAGGTCTCTATTTTTTTCTATAGAAAAAAATTCTCTCGAGACCCTCAG